TTATCGCCAACGTTTTGGCGATGTAATATTATGCCAATATTGTGTATCTATGAGACAATATTTGTCGAATAATCGAGCCAAGCTTTTTGTCTCAATAAATTTCATTATGCATCTCGATAGCAGAAAGATAGCAACTCATGTATGCTCATGCAGTGATGAATAAAAGACACATGAAGGGCGTGATATATGGAAAACGAGCGATTTCATCATCATTCTAAAATTTTTCTTTCCATCATTTTTAACCGCAATTTTTTCCGACAAAATATCTAGGATAATTACAATACTTATTAATTGCCAACAATTAATATAGACATAATGCAACTTAAAAAAAAGAAAAAAGTCTCTGACCTGGTTATAATAATTATATGAGATTCCTTCTCTGTTATCCCATTCTGGTCTTGGTCTGAAGGAAAGCGCCTTAATAGTCTTTGAACAGAGTGTACAGATACAGTTTCGATACTCTCCGTATCCTTGTTCGCCTTGATTATCTCTGCCTGAATAGAATTTACGCAAATCCATAATATATGCGCCTTCGCACCGCACTTGATTCTCCTCTTTATATATATCACTAATGTTTTGACAAATTTAATTAGCAATACATAATTGGCCCAACCTAATACGCGATTCCAAAGTATTGCGATCAATATAAAGTGTTTGCTTAGATGAAGCATTAAAGTTTCTCTCATACTCCTGAAAACGATTTCATGCGCTTCAATTCGCCTACGAGCGACGAACATTCGCTCGATTGTCCGTTATTAGTACGATTATGAACGTACAGGAGACCCTGCACTAATATATAAATGTTATTATTTTATAAGCAAAACTGACGATGAGTGTGACCGCTGCTGCTCCAAGTTATTCCGAGACTACTTCGAGACTACTCCGAGACTATTCCGAAGGCGCTTGAGAACTCTGCTTTTGGGAGCAATGGTGGGATCCACCATAACAAAGATGGCTATGGGATCAAAGAAGTTTGACGCAGGTAGAGAAACAGTAAGCAATTTTCAGAAATGTCTTCTCTCACCACGTGTGTACGTATGATCGCAATGCACCTCTATCTCGGCGTCTCTCTGATAAAATGATCGCTTCATATCGGTAATGCATCGCGAGCTTGAAAAAATTATTGATGAATTGAAACGAGCGTATATTTACCTACTTGTTAGCGTCAACTGTCCTTGGCAGAGATGACGTGTGGATTTACAAAAAAAAAGGAGCTCGTTATCTTTTTTTCTTCTTGCTTACATAAAAAAACAAGAACTACACAAAAAAAAAATATTCCACTGCCAAGGAGAGCAATTACTCAGTTTACTTTTCATCTTTTGAATAATGGTTATTTTCAACGAGGAATATTTTGTTGATAATATAATATCTTAAAATATACTCGCGACTTAAAATATACTCGTGAATTTTAGAAAAATTCACATTATCATATATTCAAAAGAGGAATTTATTTCCCTTACAAAGGATATTGTAAAACTATTCAAGAAAAAGTTGGTTCGATTCTCTATGAAGCAAAACAAATTTTTGCTTTAATTCAATATTCTGTTAAAATGCTAAATTCTGAAATGCTAAATTTACTAGGATTCAGAATATATTTGAATAAATTTGATACTTATGATGAACTTGTGACAGATTTACGGATATATGAACTTACGCAACACTTGAAGTAAATAATATTCACTTGGACATAGTATGTATTTTTCTGTGTGTGCAGCCAACGGATTTAGCCGTGCGATGGATGCAGTTTTTATCCGGTAAGATTAATATATTTAAAAACACGGGAATTGATGGCGCGTGTCGCGCGGTGCCTTTGAATTTCTAACACACTGACTTCGCTTGTGAGAGCGGAAGCGGAAGAAAGTCCGTCTCAAGCCGGATAGTGTGATAAGAACCGATCCCGGTTTTCTCGGCGGCGCAACAATCCCCGTTGTGTTTCCCCGTTCGCATCCTCCCTCGTCTCTAGTTAAGGATCATGTAATAACGATCTCGTCCCGAGACAAAGGACGCACCCCGAGGAAGACTCGAGCACTCCCTCTCGTTATTAACTCGTTAGACGCCGCGCTACCGGTACGGCTCCTCGTCGTTCCCCGGACCCGAGAGGACGACGATGGATGCGATAATTAGCGAGCAAAGAGCAGACTGTGCGGACGTTCCCCGGTAACTTCGCCGAGATGAATTCGCGACAGTGTCTTCGTCCTTCGTCGGTGTCACGGACGACGTCGCAACGGATTATCCACAACCCTTGTCTTTATAATTTTATGTCGTCAATGAATCATTGTTTTATCGAATACGCGCTCCCTTTCTCCTCTTTTTTTCTCTCTTTCTCTACTCTCTCTCTCGACCCTGACTCAGCGCTCGGATTTGAGGAAAATCCACAGGGAGGAAAAGACTACTGAGACAAGAATCGTTGTTGTTTCGAATCTTTCAAGATAAAATATCTGAGGCAAAATGTGGCTCCATTGATTTCACGTCAACGTGAAAAAAACCGTTGATTTATCGAAACGAACACCGATAATACGCGAGTGTCATAGAGAGTGTTACTTTCTCAAAGATCCCGCATCTTTCACTTTCTATAGTTGAGTGATAAGAAAATGGATCGAGCACTGACCTGAAACGACTGACAATAAGACAATATGACCTCAATGATAAATTACAAGTTATAGTCTACTATGACTATATGAAAAACTGCAGATTCATTTCATTCATAAAATGGTATCCAAACGTGTTTCTTTTTCTGACTGAAATCTTATGTAAGAAAGTCTATTCCATTAGAATTATATCTTTTTTATTTAGCGTTGGTTCCCAAGAAAACGGAAGAAAAAGAGAGAATATTGCGGAATTAGTCGCAGAACAAGTGAGGATGCCGCCTAGTTATTGACAAAACCAGATAAATTGATCCTATTGTTACTTATACATAAGATTGCTAACAGAATCCTCGCAAATTTATGTGAAGTCACGAGTGCCACAACAAATCTTTCCTCGCTTTAAAATGGGCGAAAATCGGCAAAATGGTTTTTTTTTGTCAATTTTCAAAAGCCAGTCAAATGAAAAAGTTGCAACCGTTTTAGACTACACATGCAGACTACACATTGGAATGTTGCTGAATCAAGTATACTCACTTCCGAACGTGAGTGTACCTAATTTCTGCGAGGACCTTTGTCCTCGCGAACAAGGATCAAGCTACAAAGGTTGCGAACCTTTATCCTTCCTTTGAAACAAAAATCAGGAAAACGATCAGTTATATCAGTTCTAAAACTCGTCATATAAAAACACTGCTGTCGACTACACATAAGCAAAAGAGATAAGATAAAAATAAAAGTAGAGCTGTAAATATATAACTGATAAATACTATAACTGATAAATACTATAACTGATTTTCACGAAGGTCATCTTTACTATTTTTGTACTATTCTTTACTAAGTCTTTGATCATTTTTCTTCTTTTAGAGAAATTTTTATTTCTTCGAGAAAAATGACTCTCTCTCAGCATTTCGAACTTTACTATGTTATACGAATAATGCACATGTGCAGTCTAGGCTCGCCTATTAAATATGTAAGTAATATTGCTATTCTCGAAGAGATTGATACCGGAAAAGTTTAAAAAAACAATTCGTAAGGAATCGAGACACGTATTACATCAACGGAATGATGTAAGTAAATTCCTGACAGAAAAGAATTTTTTGGATGTTTGCCCCCGTTTTCACTTTCTTTTCACACCTTTCCCCTTAATTTGACAAGACCACAAAGGTCTTGCTACTAAAAGATAGCAATGGACAGATAATAGACAATCTTCCGTGTGTTTTACACAGTGTATCATGCAACACACGACTTGCAAGACTGCGGTCTAATACTTATAATAACAATCAACAGTTTTGTATATCGTGACTTTCCTTTAACATCGCCGTAAAAAAAGAGTGTTACTCTTTTCTGAAATAACATTCTCCGTGTCTTTTAACACTTCTTTGACGCAGTATCGCGTTGAAATTGAATATCATCATTCACGTTATGCATTATGCAGTCAAATGAATAACGCGCGCGCGGAAACGTCGCGATATAATGTTCCTATGTGCATTTCATAAATGCAAATAAAACTTGTTTTGTAATCACTTGTTTGTTAATCATCGCACTTCCGTGAGCTATCGGTTCTCTATTCCTGAATAACGTCATACTCGACGTATTGCTGTGCATTTGTACGTTCCGTACCAATCGCAAGGTTGTAGTTTGACCAAAAAATGTTATCAACATTCTAGCACGCCGTGCTTACTGAGACAAACTTTCTTGTAACTATATAGAAAAAGGACATAATTGTCTGGAAAATATCTGTATTTTTTATATGATAATCTTCAAATGATATCACATAACATTAAACGAAGATAAGTGACTTGCAAGAATATATTTTGCATGATCTTTTCAACGAAGAAAACTCTATGTTTTGTGTTATTCAAAAGTAATTTTCATTAATGAAAAGTACAAAACATTAGATTGAGAATATGATATTTTTGAATATGCGTTATGTTTCTGGCGTTACCCTCCAGCTTTACAACTAATATACTTAAGTGAACAATCATTGTTTCATACGTAATAATCGTTCATTTAACGCTGCGTTAATCTCATTTTTGGATATGTCAAAAATAAAGATATTTTTCATAAGAAATGTCTTATGAAATGTCTTATGTCTTTTTCATAAGAATGTCTTCTTCTGTGTAAAGTCGAAGGTTCTGTTCAAAAGCAAGGACTTTTTTTAAGTATTCATATATTATCTAAGTTTGAATAGTGACACGTTTGAACATAGTTGAACAAGGTCGGAACAAATGTGCGAAACGAGTTAACATTCTTGAAGGTCGGGAGAGACAAATCGCCGTTAGAATATTTTTATTTTGGCGTCTCAGGGTACACGATACCGTAAATGGAGGGTCGCCTTCATTTTCGGGAAATCAGAATTTTTTATTATCAGACGGGATTTCTAGCGGCGTCATGGCGTTTAAGTAAAGCTTGACTAACCTTCTGTTGTGCCAGCCTGAACGACTCCTCAAAGTGCTTGTGAACTGCTTGCTCGGCCGCCCTCTGCTTCTCGAGCCTCTCACGTTCCATCTTCGCCTCTCGCTCGCGTTCGCGCTTCTCCAGCTCGCGCACTTCCGCCTCGCGGCGTTCTCTGTAACAAGCAGCGGGAAGCGTCCCGTCGTTATCACACGATTATGCGAATCAGTGCGTATAAATTGGCCGACGATTTACGGAGTCACCGTCGCTGTCGGCAAATTAAGCGTCGCGTTCTTATTTTGTCGACACTTTCCGTCGATTACTTTTAGTGGATCGCGAGCCTCGACACAACTTCCGAATAACTCTTAATTAACTATATAAATTAATGACAAATTACATACACATACAATAGTAGTTATATCTTTACTTATAATAATCTCACCCTTAATGGAGTCCTCTTATATGACTTCTTCTAAAGCTAAAAGAAAGATATTCTAACGCTAAAATATAAAGGATTCTGATTGGAAAGTGTTTATCTCCTTGAATTTCATAATCCAATTTTGATCAAAAAAGTATTCCTCTTCTAATGTGAAGAGGAATAATAATACGCTTAGAATACTTTCTTTTTTGTTTTAGAAGAATCTTCTTGACACTACGTATAAGAGGATTTCGCTAAGAATAAGATTATGTTTTTTGGGTTTATTTAGTGATAATGTGCGTGTATGTGTGTGTGTTTTATGTGTACGGACGGTTAACTTTATTTAATTAACATGTTCGCTACCAACGTCTCGTATATGTGACAGCAACATTATTCCATATTACCAAACTAAGTCTGTCTTACAAAATTACATAAAACTAAGAAAACACGAAGTGGACTGTGAGTAGAGTGTCCTTCAAATAAACTGCGATAATACGAATGTGTTAAAACGCTCGTATCTTAACGCTCTTTTGTACGCATGATCATTATCATTACGTGTTATCTCCGAGTCGAAACTGTCATTAGCCTCTGGTCTTGCCTCGATAATCAAAGTCCGTCGTCGGAGCGAAAATAGAACGAAAAAATAAAGCGACCTCGCCTCGTCGTTGACCGCGTCAGGCGTGAGGCATCTTTATACATTGCGTTCCGCAACGACGCTTAAACGACAGACGTAATTTATATGCGTGTAATTTATACGGCCGTAAAGGAACTTGGCTGGCTCTCTCATGCTCCCTCGCATTCGCATTCCTTATCGATCTATCTTCGCTCCACGGCCTACGTTCGTAAAGCTTGCCGTCGGAAACGTAGCGCGACGAGAAAGAAAGAGCGGCACGGGAGCTTGCAGCCGACCTTGTCCGAGCGTGTTATCAGCCGGCCCGTTATCAGATCGGCCACACTCTATCGCGGCATTCTGCCGAATTTAACCCGCGACGCTAAAAATTCCTCTTCACTTCAGTCGTATTTTATGTGAGCCCACGCAGAAAGAAACGAATACGATTTTGCGCGATCGACAAAAAATAATGATGACGATAAAAAGCGGCATACGTTAAACTTTCACTCCTACCGAGTCGCATCGTCGGCGCAATCGATGTTTTATTTATACCACTCGCAATCTTGAAAACAAAAAAGAATTCTAGGAAGTAACAGGTTTTTTGTCCTGGAGAAAATTCGCTCGCCTCGCGCAAATGCAACGCGAGTTGCTTTGCACGCTCTCTCTCTCTCTCTCTCTCTCTCTCTCTCTCTCTCTGTCTCTCTCTCTCGTTCCTTCTTCCTCTCGCTTTTGCGCGTGTACGTGCGCGCAACGACGAAGATAATAAAACGCAACGGCTGCCTCTCGGTATATATCTCGCGACTTTTTCAAGGGGGCGCGGGGAGATAAGCATTCATTAACGCTTGCGCAAGTTATTTATACTGTTACGTGCGCAACGCGCGTGCTTATCTGCGCGCTCGGTCGGCGGACCTTACAATGCACGCGCGGGATCCGCGCGCGATAAATACGTCCGCACGTATCTTTTTCCATTTCTTGTCTCTCCTTCTCTCTCTCTCTTTCTCGTTCTCGCTCGCTCCCTTTATCTCAGCGCGCAGATGTTCGTGCGCGCGGAACGTATTCTCGTGACTCTGACATCGTCCTGAAAAACCAGATTCCCGCTCACGTAGGTATCTCTCTTTTTTCACGAATGTTGAAACTGAGCGAGAGATAAAGGAAGAATAATCCGGAAATCTCGGGCACTGCCTATTTGCAAAGCTGATCGAAGCAGTAAAACGTCTATTTTCTTCTCAAGGTCGACGCAACGGTTTGTATTTTGGTCGAGTATCCAATCAGCTAAACGGCACCGTCTGATTTTCAAGGTGAAATAATATTTTGTGTGATAACGCATGTGAAAATGTGTGTGCTTTCTCGTAAAATAAATAGATCTTAATTCGACGAGACAGAAACAGGCTAACGCCAAAATACGAAGGACATTCCGCGACAAGATTTTCTGTCCTCAATAATGCTGTACAGTCTCTTCCTGGCGTAATATAATGTAGGAGGAAAAAAACGCGATATAACTTAGCAATAATTAGCGAGGTTATCGTTGATAACGTTACTCAATATTTTCATTCATCGAATGTCGACGCTATTCAGCTATACACGGATTGTCCAGACGGGACAGAAGAAGTTAATCGGCATGCCTCGTATTCGCTGGCGCGGCATTAAAATTCATAACTGCACGCGTCCTCCCTCGGTTCAAGTGTCGAGGAACTGCGTTTTTGTTCGATTTCCGAGGACAACGCAACGCGCCGAGCTGCGTATTTGCATGACGATACTCCGCGACTCGCAACCGAAACGCTCGTATATATCACTGCAATTGTGTAAACACACACGGACTTATCTGCTCCGCCGTTTGCCTGACAGCGCGGAATAGGAACGCGATTGCGCGCGAAGCGACTTCGTTATCTGAGATTTCGCGCGCGAACGCAGCGAGTCGCCAGAATAACGGTCGATTTTGCGATTCGGCGAATCGCATACTGCGCGGTGTTTAGTAGCAGCATGTTCGACGTGATTGAAAGCCGCCGTTCCCGTCGTCATCGAAGACGCATAACGCTACTCTGACACACGGACCCCGTCGTAAACGAGCTTGAAAATTATGACAGCCTCACGAGACGAAGTTGGCAAACAGATCTGTCATTACTGCGCGTGCGAGCGAAAGTATATCACGACGCGACGTAATCATCGAGTAAACACGTGGCTCATTTAATGAGACATGAATCAAGCCGCAGGAACGTACTCCTCGACGAGCTCGGCCTTCGATACAATGAAGGTCACCATGAAGTCCAATTGCATTGCTCAATTATTTATATTTAATTATCATATTAAAAACTTTGAAATGCAGTCTAATTCTCGTTCTTTTAATTTCTGATGACACATATTTGTATTTGCGAATGGATTTATATCTATTAATTTTTATATATTTTCTTGTCTTGCACTTGGGAAAAGTACTTGAAAATTTATTTATAAAAGAGAGAGATACAAAGTTTATCTCACATACTCTCTTTTCAGTACGTAATCTTGCGCACCAAAGATTATTATTCCCGTTAATTGAGCAAATTAAATTGTGCCGAAGAATTCACCGATAGAACGATAGCAATTGAAAAAGTCAGAATGAAGTCTTATCGCGCGCAATTATCTCCGACAATAGCCGCGCATATCTGACGCTTGCTATCGATTATCAAGATAATAATGGATTTTGAATCAAGAGATAACTCGGCGTCGATGTTAAACTTAACGCTATCATTGAAGAGAATCGTTTCTCCGATCGTGAGGGACACGTTTTGCGAGATTGGGCGCGCGCGAGTGTTACGAAACGTTCTGCATGACACGCGTTGTCGGGGCATCGCCGCGAGGAAGAAATAAAAAGTGCAGATCCCGTTGACGCATTCAAGCGTGCACAGCACGCCTGCCGGCCGCTTCGCGGCAGAGAGGATCACGACGACGACGGCGTGCATAATGCCGACGCGACATAACGCGACTCGGCAGCAGCAGCAGCGAGAGTGCCGGGAGAAACGGGGGGTTTGCTTCCAGGAGAGATCCGCGCCTGGAGAAGCGCGTGCTGCGCATTCTTAGAAGGCGTAACGTGTCATTACCAATGACTTCGCGCGCGTGTTTTGAGCCTACACACACATATCTGTGGAGTGCCGTGAAAACATCCGCGCGTCGAATTTGACAGATCAATCCTTTTCGGAGCGAGCGTTTCTCGCAGCAGGCTGGCTGTATAATTTGCGTGTTTCGCTCACGGGCAACGCTCTCGATGTTCTCGGCTCTCGCCCCGATATGTACTCAAATAGACGACTTTCATGATTGTCACACGTGAGACACATACATACACACGATCGATGATGGAAATTTGACAATTCTCTTAATTACATTTATGAAGTAAATATACTGTATCGTATTAATTTGCAAAATTTACATCATACAACATAACGTAAATTTCTGTTTCGTCATTCCATGTGATATAAGTGTAATCTGATCAGTCATAAGGGACTCAACGTTGTTGAATTTCGTAATTTAATATACTTAAAGTTTACGTATATTAATCTATCGGGTTAGTTAACGCGTGGAGGTAATCAGATTAAATCACGAAAATGATAAGGGCGAACGATAACGTTCTCAGACACAACAAGACTGTGGTATATGGGGGAGAGAGGGAGGGGGAAAGAGAGAGGCACACACAAAGAGAAAAAAAGAAACGACTTCGTGCCGGGGGTCAATGTAATTCAGAGAACGCATGGTCGCTCGGAATGACTGGTTTCCTCAGTGAGGTTAATCGCCAGACAGGAAAGAGAGATGCCCGAAGGCCGAGTGGTCAGGAATTTCTACCTGCGCCTCCCTACCTGGCTCCTCTTTTTCTTTATCTTTTTTCCCCGCCTTGGCAAGATCGTTTGTTTGGAAATCGAGTGGGGACAGAGAGTCGCTGGGCCCCCGATCAGTCCTATCTCTCCGATCTCAATAAAACCGGTCCGCGGTACGGGATTGGTGCCGCTGTTGTTGTCCAACAGGCACAGGTTAATACGTGGAAAAATTCGACCACTCAGAAACCGAGTCCCTCCACGGGTAGCCAGTGTATCCCCGAAAATGCTACACTGTTACATTGCGTTCTCGTCCTCCGTTTCGTGCGGGCACGTTATTTTTTGCTCCGCCGAGTTCGTACAACGTG